CTTATCAGTTTCTTTTGAACACTTAAAACTCAACTTTGAATGATTTGCCCTTTTCTGGTTTGTTGGCTGCCCTTCCATTTTCTGCCTAACTCTTTCTTCCACCAAAAAAATGTTTTCCACAATTGCTAAAAAGCACTTATCGGTTTCTTTTGAACACTTAAAACTCAACTTTGAATGATTTGCCCTTTTCTGGTTTGTTGGCTGCCCTTCCATTTTCTGCCTAACTCTTTGATCGCTGCCTTGCTTTCTGCCATCTGCTGCATCATGCGTCTGTGCTCATCTTCCTGCCTCCTTCCTTTTTCAGTAGTCCTGTAACCTCTTCTGTTCCAGATCTCTTCTGCCCTGTTTCCCATAATCTTGACCACAGGCTCCGTGATGGGACGGTGCTCTCTCTCCATTCCCCGACGATTCTTACCACCATTTTCCTACATCATTTCCCTCCCAGTGTCAGTCTCCACTGTATGTGTCACCTACGTAAGACACTTAAACCTGTCTTCACTTATTAGTGATGCTGAAAACAGCTACTTACATCTCAGCTGTTAACTATCAGCTCTTGGGTAACTATGCTTTGTGGAAGGGAAACATTGACATAGATAAAGCAAAAAAGCAAATACTCCAGAGATATTTGACGTGAGAAGCCATTGTATTAATCTGATACCAAGCAGTCTTCCTAAGTATATTTGCTTGGGCCGATACTGAAATGAGCATATATTCCCTGCGTGCACAGCTCCTGGGTGGGGCCTAGAGTGAGTGCGTACACTGCATATTACAAAATCACCATGCTTGACTAGGCTTACATTGAATTTCTCTGTATTCTTTTTTCAAGGAAAAACTAGTCTAATTGCCTTAAACATTTCTTTAGGTGCCAGTTCCCCATCACCTTAATTAATTTCTTTTTATTAAATTCTTCTAATTAATAATTTTTCAATGGCATTTATATAAGGATATGTGAGAGCATAGAGTAGGAAGAGACTCTTTCTTGGGGCATTGGGATAGGCCTCATGGACTGGGTCAGGGGGTCCCCAACCTATGGTGAGTTATATAAATATTTCATTATATGTAAATGACCGAGACAATTAATGCAAACCATTTACGGTGTATTCTCATGCAGCTAATGTTTACTCACATAACTGCAAATCTAAAACTAAAGAAGGTAGGGCTGGGCGCGGTGGCTCACGCCTGTAATCCTAGCATTCTGGGAGGCCGAGGTGGGTGGATCGCTCAAGGTCAGGAATTCAACACCAGCCTGAGCAAGAGCGAGACCCCGTCTCTACTAAAAAATAGAAAGAAATGATCTGGACAACTAAAAAAATATATATATAGAAAAAATTAGCCGGGCATGGTGGCACGTGGCACATGCCTGTAGTCCCAGCTACTCTGGAGGCTGAGGCAGTAGGATCGCTTGAGCCCAGGAGTTTGAGGTTGCTATGAGCTAGGCTGATGCCATGGCACTCTAGCCTGGGCAACAGAGTGAGACTCTGTCTCAAAAAAATAATTAAATTAAATTTGGGAATTAGAGATACAACTGGAAATATTTATCAGAAACTAGCTTATATAACACCAACTTTGTCAGAAAAATGAATTCCCACAGCTATCATAAATTTTTATTCTAAGCTTCTCTAAAATCATTTTTACACTTCAGTATTTTCCTGTAACTACATTTTGTTCTTTGCAAAGAATGTTCAACTCTGTACGTTTTCATGGTATCAGTCAGCTGTGTCTCATAAAGGGATGAAACAAAGGCAAAGAATCTGAAGCCCTTGGGTTGTGCTGATTAGTTCTACCTGTGCTTGTGCTGAGAGTATGCTGACACTGTATTAATTTAGAGACCAAACCCAGATCAGCCCTCGAAACTAAGGAGCAACTTTAAGTGTAACGTGAAATACCTTACTGCACAGATTCTGAGGCACACCTGCCCCCACCCCCATATTTTAGCATCTCTGAAATCTGAATACATCTTAAAATCACCAGCATGCAGATATAATTGGGAGCATTTTTTCTTTCTTGGTGGTATATAACTAACAATGTTATCTTACAATCGATAGTATCAGATTCAGTGAAACCCAATAGACTGGGTTTACTTTGTTTTGTTGTAACAGAGTATGATTCTTACATATTAAGTGCGTTTGAGGATTATTTTGAATTCTTTCGTTGTATTCAGCCTTTCCTCTTTCTAGCACCTATTGGGTCATTTAGTGTTGTTCAAATTAGCTTTAATGAACATACCAAGGTAGCACTGAGACGTGGTTATAGAGGGAAAAGAACACCTCCCTCCCCAGTATCAACTAGTTGGTTCATTTCCACAATGCCTGTTCTGTTATGTAGATTCAGCCCACAAATTTAACATGTTAGTTCTTTTTTTAATCAACTTTTAACCAACTTCTTAGGATTATTTTCTGATACTAACATAAAATACTTGTTGGGTTTTTTCTGTTACTTTAACCCCAATAGACAGGTATCTCCTTCACAAAAAGATGATCAAACTAGAGCTAATGCAGATGAAAATGAAAACCAATCACCTTTATCAAATGACAGTGAGATTTGCCCTATAAGCTGCTTAATGTTTCTGTAGAAACATGATCTGCTGAGTTTCGTTTTAGAAGTGTGGTTCCCCAGAGATGAGATGACATTTCTAATGCTGTTTGTGGGGTTCTTTTCCCCGTTCTCAGGCCTTGAACCGGGGCATAGCTGCTGTCAAGGAAGATGCAGTCGAAATGCTGGCCAGCTACGGGCTGGCGTACTCCCTGATGAAGTTCTTCACGGGTCCCATGAGTGACTTCAAAAACGTGGGCCTGGTGTTTGTGAACAGCAAGCGAGACAGGACCAAAGCCGTCCTGTGCATGGTGGTGGCCGGGGCCATCGCTGCCATCTTCCACACTCTGATAGGTAAGGCTGCTGACCGCCACTGAAGTATCTAGCTTGGGCAGTTTTGTATTCCTTTTCATTGACTCAAATGTATTTTTTAGGATAACTGATTTCTTCACTGATTATCAAGTATTTATTATGAAAATTTCAGGGAATGGAAGGAATGGAGTTTGTGTTCCTAGCCCAAGAAAACAAAATGTGTTTTCTCTGGAAAGCTGTAGTTTTGTGTCCCTGATTCCCAAAGTCAGAAATGGAGTGATTTCATTAACAGGTGATGATATCTTGGAATAGCATTTGGTAAGCTCAATAAAATAGCAGGTGCTTTTGTTAGAGACATGCATGCATTGTTGTACTGACTCATTTAATCTTAACAATAAAAATGGAATGATTGCCATTTAGAATTAATGCTCATCAGCCGTGAAACAAACAATAGTTTGTTTTATTTATTAAAGTAATTGTTCTAGGGCCTCATTGTATTTTATTCAAAGACAAGACTAAATACTCTTGGCATAATATTCTTTTCATGGAAGAACAAGAAAGCTATCTCATACATACAGTAACTGGTCTACAGTTTAACCAAGCCTCGGAAAAGCATTTTCCTTCATGGCTGGAGTTCTACTTCCACTGCCATCTTGGTGATATTAATAAAACCTTAAGGGCATGATTTCAGAACTTCTTGGCTTTAAACAGCCTTGCTTTCCTGGCATAAAAATCGAATGGCACATCTATTGAAGCCGGTTGCATAAAGCACTGTGAATGACACTTCATAAACTCATTGTGTACCTTCAAATTGTTGCTGGTTAGAAGTATGAATGTCAAGGGTAAATGACCGAGACAATTAATGCAAACCATTTACGGTGTATTCTCATGCAGCTAATGTTTACTCACATAACTGCAAATCTAAAACTAAAGAAGGTAGGGC